CATCATTTTTATACCTCTGCACAGGAAGAAAAATATCACAATTCATTGAGCCAAAAGCAGTAAAATAACTGCTGTTCCCTCAATTTGAGTAGCTGTTTATTCCAGCATATGACCACTCCAAATTAAGTTATTCTCTCTTATCTGGATTTTTTCCAACAATTCAGAAGACAAAATGAATTAAAAAAGAATCTTTGTTATTCCCATACAGATCATTTCTCAGTAAGAAATGAAACATGCTCTTTTGGCACTAATGGATCTTTATTCCAATATTGACAATAGCTAATAGCAGCAATCAAATAAAATGCTTCCAAAGCTTTCTAAAGATAGCCAGAAATTTACCCCAGAGTGCTCACAGCAGTGGAGGAGTAGGTAGCTACAGTTTCCCATCAGGTGAATAGACTCAATTTACCACTATAGGCTGAGACTTCAGATGAGCAGCTTGTTTCTGTGCTCTGCCCTAACATCTGTGTGTAAGTACAGCAGTCTGAACTGTCTTGTCTAACAGAAGGCATTGAGAAGACAGCTCTTATCTTCATTAATTTATTTTTTAACTATTCATAGCCAAATTTATTTCTGTAGCTTGCATACAGTGATTCCAGGGCCAAGAAAGCAGACACTGGATTTTTCACTTGAGTAAAATCCCCATTTAATTGTGTCCCTTACAGTGAAAGCACCTCAGAGTGTCAGAAGTGTATGGCAGATCTCAATACTGTAGTACACTTCTGCTTCTGCACTATGCTTTATCTTAAGCATCCTAAGGTAAAGGACATTGGAAATAAAGTAATAGTTTGCAGCTTGACTTATTAGGCAAATGACTTTCACATCTGTTCTTGGAGTGTCACTTGCAAATAATGTTAATGAAGTTAATGTAAAACAAAAACACAGTTATAAAGAACAAACCCAACAAAATCAGGCTGGAAGAGAAGTAGCTTCTCTACAGAACTCCAACAGGGGAAGACACTGGAGCATTGGGAAGCTGCAGGGAAGGTCAGTACATACACACAGTTGGTCAGGTTGGCAGGTACCCACATGATGTGTCTTCATTCTTTTCTTGGCATAGCAGCAGTTATACAAACATGACTTAGTCATTATGTACAACACTGTGAATTTTACACTGAGCTTACTGACTTGTGATCTATGCTATTAAATATGGTATTATGTCAATCCCAAAGCCAGGCTGGATGAGGCCTTGAGCAACCTGGTCTAGTGGGGAGGTGTCCCTGCCCATGGTAGGGGATTGTGGCTAGATAATCTGTAAGGTCCATTCCAACCCCTAAAATTATTTGCTTCTATGATTATTTCCTTTGATACAGCATGACTTTTGTAAAAAAATATTACTGTCCTTTCCAAAGATCTTTAGCAAGTGTTCTACATGGAAACCTCTTTTTTCACACTTAGGAGCAAGCCATCCTCTTTTGTTGGCTGGGTTTTATCATTTTTGCAGCAAGCAAAAAGCTGTAAATTGATAAGAAACCCATTTCTTTTTTTTTCAGGAAAGTACCTCTGGGTACAATGGAGATGTTTCTGTGAACGTGACTTTCACTGTTATGAAAAGTAAAAGGTCCAAGTTGGTGGTTTTGGGGAGCAGACACCTCCAGGTGGGAGACTAGCTGAGAGAAACAAACTTCTCCTGTAGTCTAAATCATGTTCAGAGACACTAAGTCATAGTATATTTCTTTTTCAGAAAAATATGCTATACTGAAACTAGAAAATACTGCCTGGAGTGGGTCCAGCAGGGAGGCAGTAAGGGACTGACTTACCTCTCCTAACTCACTTTGTTTCTACAGTTAGCCGCTCACCATATGCTCTTGAAAATTACCAGAAGCAGGGCATGCACTCACTTATCCCATTGATCCTAACCAAGTCTGGCAACTGCTAAGGATTTTTTCTCCATTCCAAATACTTGTGCAAATAAAAATAGCAGAGATAGCAACAACATTTCTAAAAACCAAAACAAAACAAAATAAACCCTATAAATTTTAAATGCAAACTATAACTTATATATCAGAATTAAGTGACTCAGCATGTTACAATAAAAAATATTCTTTCAGAAAGACAAGTCTCAGAGTGCCTGGGACAGGCAGGTGTGGGAAGGCAGAAGTGGCAGGAAAACAGTGTCTATATGCCAAGGAGGGCAGGTCTCCACGCAGCCTTCGGAGGCAAGTCTGGCCCTGGCTCTGATGTGTAACAGCCCAGACTGCTAATCAGCTGCAGGTGAAGGAAGGCTGCACAGAAATATGGCAACTCCAAGCAGAGTAAGGAATATTATAAAGAGAATGGTAATTTTAATAAGGGTTGCAAGAGAAGGAAAGCCAAGCCTCTGTGCTGGATCTGCTATGCATGCATATATATGCCAAGAGCAAAATTTCCTTGTCTTAAAGGAACTCTGAAATAATACACAGGGAAGGCAGTTACCTAATCAATACTTCATACTTTCTTCACTGCTGATGCTGCAGAAGTTAAGCAATAAAACTTAACATTTTGCAATTGCAACTTTCGCAACACCCTTGGTAACTTCCAGCCTGCACAAGAAGCTGCATTTCACCAGCATACATATTTATGTAAAGTACCATGAGGAGCCACTGGGCTTGCAGTAAAAATGGAGATATATTGAACCTCCCACGTCAGAACAGAAAGCAGATCTACAAGCAGAAAATAAAAGCAGTGATCCAGTTCCCATAATTATGCTTAAAAACATGTCAGGTGTTCAAGATTTCCTTTTAAATTAAGTTTTGTCAGAGGAGAATTTGACCATAGTAAATGCAACTTCATTGCATCTTGCCCTGCAGAGATGGATTGTCTGTAAGCAATGTCTAAAAAGATCTGTACTCCTTAAATTCTATTTAGAACATTTTTTAGTCAATTGCATTAGGCATCTCTTGTTTTCCAGGCCATAAGTGCTCATGAAGAAGTATAACAAAATTTTTTTCTCTAAACAGGATTTTATCCATCATCAATAGTTACTTAAAATTTCACTATTAAGTCAGTTGGAGTATAATCTCAGATCTACAGGCTCTTCCCAAGCATATTTTGCAGTATTGATGTTCTCACACTGCCTGAGCTTCAGTCTGGGAGGTGAAGTGCTCCAACCCTCACCCTCCTTCCTGTGCTCAGGGACCACAGGCAAACTCCGACAGCCAAGTTGGTGCAAATTTGTTTCTTGAGAAGCAAAGTGGCAGTACTCGCTTCCCTCCTTCTTGAAAGTCTGGCACTGACAACCAAAGGTCTTACTAAAATAAAGCAAAGCATTTTTCTTGGGTAGCACTGCTTAAATATCCACAGTAGTGGGAAATGTTCTGGGTCCAGCCTGCCTTGCTTGACTTTTTTTGCCTGCTGGCCTCAGTCTCACTTTTTTAATATATCACTGGTTCTCATTTCTGCTCAAAGAAGGAAAAAAAAGGGCAGTAGAGTTTTCCTAAAAATACCATGCTAATTCACAGCTTATTTGACTTGACAATTGACAAGTGTGTATTTGTCACCTTTCATGGAAGAAGGTCTCACTCAAGGGATGTTTTATTCATCTAGTTAGTGGTAGATAAATATTTGGGAATGTGCTCAAAAAATCAGGCTTAGCAATAAATACATCATTGTCAGAACAGAAATCCAGTTCCTAGAACCTCTGTTGGGACTGTTTGCACTCATGTGCTTATCTGTGTTATGGCATAAGTAATCAGCACCTCCCATGCTGCATTACCCAGGTAGGGAACAAATTAAATAAATTCCATTTTACAAGCTTAAAGAGTTTTTCATTTAAAATTTGAATGCTTGTAATAAATGATTTGTAAGTAATCACTCATTCTATCAAAAGCAAAAATTACGTGTGAACTCTACTGAATAAATGTCAATATAACTGTTTTGGAATACTGCTTGCAGATCATCTGAAAAACAGAAAAAAACCCAGATTTCTGACCCAACAGGTTGTGCAAGACAAGATGCTGCTGCTGCTACTGATGCTAATTGGTTTCAGTAAGAGTAGTATTGCTGAAGAGTTTACAAAGGGCCATGATCCTATGGGCTGGATTCTGCTAACTTGGAATCTTAAATCTGACCTATTATGTGCCGTAGTACCAATTATACTTAATGCTAGGTTACAATATCCATTTGACCTTTCATCTCTTCATAAAATTGCTTATAACTCACCAAATTGCATTTATTTGAAACTGTACTTGGTTTCAGGCCAAAAGTGATTTTTTTCCCTCACAGAAAAACTAAGGTCACACCAGCAAAAGTATTCACTCACATAACTCTAGCAGCTGATACAAGAGAAGAACTGGTTTTACAATTTGTATTTTCCCCACCCATTTTTAAGGGCTCAGAAATGTTTTTCAAATCAGTTCAGTTGGGTTTTCTCCCTGCATTCACTTCATTTCTTACACTTTCCCAGTCACCAGTACTGTTGCTCCTTGCCAAACCTGGTCTTCTACTGCCCTTTCTCCCGCAAAAAGACACCACCACCCCCTGCCAAAATGCTGTGGTAGGGCAAAGACGATGCAAAGGGTGATCACAGTGATAAAACCTGGACACTGAGAATAAAGCTGAACACTGTGGGACATTCTCAAGCAATTTCTTCACATCATTGCCTTCTTGGTTCCTCACTAAATCTCTGTGAAGTCTCTCTCAGTTCAATTAATCTAACACATTAGGTTAAAATTTTCTTCCTGACTTTGTTCTAAATTTCCCTGAAGGTCTCTGGGGACTTGTCAATAATGCTGGGATTATGGGGCCATCAGCTCCTACAGACTGCTTGGATACTGAGCACTTTAGAGGACCAATTGAAGTTAATTTACTTTGACTCACAAATGTTACAATACATATGCTTCCCTTGACAAAAAAAAAAGCAAAGGGAAGGATAGTAAATGTATCTAGTGTTGGAAGTTGCCTAGCACCTGTGATGGAGGTGTTTTCTTCAAAAGGATTTAATGACAGCTTAAGGTGTAATATTTACTATGAGGAAACATCACTCTTTTTCTTTGCCAAGATTCATATACTAACTAAAAACTGATACATGCAGAACAGCAGCTGATTTACAGTCCTGGCACTTGGTATAAAATTGGCAAGCATTAGGCACTTTGGACTAATTCCTAAAAAAAAAAATTTCTCAAAATGAATTATGCCGCTTTGGGGCAGACAAGCTGTCCCAAAGTATTATTGCAATGTAGTTGGTGCTCTTATAGACTCACAACTAACCTATCTTACTGTGCACAGAAGTCTTATTGCAGAGGAAGCTCTGCTTAAGGGAACTGAGATATCTTTGCAACATGAAAAATGCACCTAGAAACTTCCTGCAGCCATTCATCCAGAATAAATACATACCATGAGTTATTGCATGATACTAACTTTTATCTCAGCTTTCTTCTCCAAAGTGACTTCTATTAATTATTCTAATTGTTAGAGAGATCTATAAAACACAGCAAACTTGTCCTGAGGACCACCATGGTGGCTTCTTTTAACACATACAGGGAACAATTGATGTGCCTAAATTTGCAGCAGCATTTTAGATACTGAGACACTTACACAGGATCAACAGATACAAGATGGGGCCAGAAAGAACTGTACCTTGAGCCAGAGGTCTTCCCTAAAAAGGGATTCCCTAAGACATGTAAATTAGCTCTACATACTTGCATTTAGGCAGCCAGCCAGTCTTTCAGGCAAGTCAGATAACTAATGAGCTACTGCAAGGTGAACTAGGTTGTGAAATACACTGCCAGCTACTGCCCGTGCACATTCTCACTCTGAAACAGGTAAGATAGTTCACACCTCTTTCATTTAGGGATAACAAGCTGAAAGCTCACTACCAGGAAAAAAAACTCCCAGTATTTGTGTGCTGAAGCCCCATATATGGACAGAAAGAAGAGTATTAATACAGCGAAAAAAATCCCACAGTACTAAAAATAATAATTATGTTATCCAATGCAATTAAATAATTGGTCTGCCTTTATAGGAGAGAAATTAAAGCTTTTGGAGTTAACATTTGTTGCATTCAACACAGACTGTTCAAACCAGCATTATCTAATCCAGTGAAGATCAGGAAAGAGAAGGAGGTTATTTGGAATAAGCTTCCCTCTGATATTAAAGCACAATATGGAGAGGAATATTTTCAGAAAGGTGAGGCAATTTCCAGACATTTGTGCCAAGAGAAGCAATACATTTCCCATGAGAAAGTCTTGCAAAGTAGCATTATATCTTCTAATCATTTGACTTTTTGGAAAAACTACGATGTGAAAGGTTACTCTTTCAAATGCATCTGCATATGATGATCCACATGAAAGACTTGCTCTGGGAAGATTTATTCAAATTTTAGTTAAAGATTAATTATTTGTGTTGGCATGTAGCTTTTGAGTGAACTTCCAAGCAGAAATGATGCTCACTGATTACATCTGCTGATGTAATCAATGAGCTCAATGTGGTGTTCTTCATTATTGTTTATTTGTTTAGTAATGAAATAGGGATCAGGTCCCTTTGCTTCTGCTAGCCCACAGAGGCAGCCACTCAGGACCTGTCTGATAGACACTTCCTAAGCCTGCTTGAGCAGGGGCTGCTTGTCTTTTGATCCTAGGACTTACTGTTTCACGCAGAGACTTTCTAGAAGCTAAAGCTTTTTGTCTTTTCTCCACCAAGATTACTCAGTAAAAAGTGATTATAGACACAGAAAAACTATGAAATGACACAACCTACTCTGATCTTCTTCTCTAGAAATTACAGTTTGTCTGGTTTAATTCAGTTCTTGTCAGTCCACAAGTATGGTGCCAGCTGCTGTGAGACACTAGCACTGTAAATGTTAACATTTGAAGGAAAATACAAATAGGATTTGGGACAGGGCACACTAGCTGGAAATACAGTAGTCCTGGGGGATTGCCTCTGCAGGACCTGACTTCAGTTAGCTTGTTAAAATCAGTACACAAATGTGCACTTCAAAACCTTTGCTTGTCCAGTAGGAATAACATTAGTTTACCACTTTTCACTGGCGAACCAAATTTCCTTCCCTAATGTTATGCTTCAATAGGAGTAAGGGATCTCATTACAAAATACACCTAAGGAGTCAATGGGAAATCAGACAGTCAAGTGCTGGTTTCTGCAGAGGAAAGACTGTCTCATGCCAAGGTAGTGGAAAACTACATATAGAGCTCATATTTTCCTTATGTGATTTCCCTTCCTATAATTTTCCTCATATGCTGTGTTCTGAGACAGTTGGAGGATCCTCTATGTAAAAGGGAACTTAGTGGGAAAATTCCTCATTTTGATGTTTTCTGAGATGTTAGGCAGTATCTATTCAGCTTTCTGAAATTACTTTCTACAGTTAAACAGCAGTTTGCTGAGGAAAAAAAAATCAGTGGCGGAGAAATTTATGTTTTTCTCTCCTACATTCACGTGGCAAAGGATTGCTACCCACAATAACAGGATTCCTGACTGAACACTGAGAAATGTCACCCTGTAACAGGCTTTGCATGATGGTGGAGTGCTGGTTTGTGGTCATTTCAATCATGCTGCAGAGCCTATCATTAGAGTCAGGCCAGACCAGGCACTTCTACCAGGCTTGTCCTGGAGAAGAAATCTTTCCTAGCCACCTGTTGAATCCCCAAGTCTCCTACAGGCTGCACACATCTCCTGACTGAGCCAAGAATGCTGAAAGTACATTAACAACCAACACCGCAACTCAGGTTGGTGTGGCACTCAAGAGTGACAAAAGAAGCAAGAATTTCCAGGTCCAAGCCAAAAGGAGCAGGAAGATAAACTGGAGGGGGAAGAGCTGCCCACCAAGCAGAGGGTGAACTAACAGCTCTGCAGCTTCTGTCAGGGATCAGCCAGACCAAGTGTCACCAGCCAGTCTGGGACAGGCTGCCATTGCCACATTCCACTCAACTGTACAGGGCAAGATCAATTCCAGCTCCATCCTGCCACCTTGCTTGGTTTCCCCAGTTTTAATTTTCTTCTCAATCGACTTTCACAAAAAAAGCTTACTCATTCATACTGCTGTTGGGAGCAGTCTTTGCCCAAGCCTCCTCACTTCCTGCAGCATCTGGCACTGCACAGCACTGTGTGTGGGAAGGTGTGAAAAATGGGGAAAAGAAGTTCTGCTGCCATGTTTATGCAGTAGTACTCAGAGATGGATCAGAAGTGTCCACCAGACTCTGGGCCAAGGAGCAAGCAAACAAGCAGCCCAGCAATCATATATTAGCATCCGTGCCCATGCAAACTGTAGAGCTTCTGCTTGCAGAGTTTGTAGATTTTGAGCTTTTATTTAGGAAATAGTGCAGTTGATTTGTTTCTAGTATCAAAAAGCTGTCCCTAAATAGTAAATATAATTTCATTCCTGAAAGTTTTCACACACAAGGATGTATCTTAAAATATTAAGTTATATCAACAATAACTTGTTCACATGCAGGAGAAAAGGTGGAGGTCTTTGTTAAATCTATGGGACTCCTGCTGGTTTCAAGACTAAGCACAGATCAGTGCTTCCCAGATCAGTAGATTATGTCTCCTTAATGAGTCTTGACAGTCCCCCAGGCTCTGTAAATTACTATATATAGCCAGCAATGCGTATACGACATAGGTAGGAGAGGCAGGCATAGAGCATATACAGAATACCAAGTACGTCCCTCAGGTAGATGCACCACAGCACAAGTCATTATCAAGAGCAGGGAGAAGGGCTCTGTTTTTCAGGATTCAGAAAGTACCACCAGACACAGAATTTACAGTGAGATCTTTTTGGAAACTCTCGCCATGTGCGTAATGGCGCAGAAGCTTATGAGCAACCTGGGCTGTTTCTATGTTCTGACACTGGAAATAACTGGTGAAGACAACTCATGAGCACCTGGAGGTATAGACTGAGCTTGCAGATGTCTCCCCAGGACGTGAGTAGAATTTGTGTCTATTGTTACAGTAAGCAGCACCTATAACAACTAAGAGAAAAATTAAGCATTTGTTTTTGAGTGCACAGACAGGAGAACATGCAGTCCCTTCTTTTCTAGAATGATTTTAACAACTGTTGCTTATCGAGGCATCTACAGTGTCTGAATAAAATGCTAACTCAGAAATTTTCTACCCAACATCTGGAATCTTTCCCTGTTCCTTTATTTTCAATTACTAGGTCAGTCACCTAAGACTTTAAGAGGTTTTGTTTTCCTCGGTCTTTTACCAATGCTGTGGTACAAAATCTGAAGTGCAAGCAATGAAAGGAAAGATACAATCATGCTGAGAAATCAGCCCCCATAGTACCAGACTACATTGATCTCCCTGCAAAAATGCTGTGTAGGAGGGTTTGGAGATGTATTTCTTTCAGGATACAATATTAATGAAAATCTTAATTTATCTGTTGACCATCAAACTGAGTTATCGCACTGACATGTTTACACAGCATACAAAATAACAATGCTTTTCCATGAAACAAAGGTGTGTAGCCCTGCACATGCAGGAACAGCTCATCTAAGCGTGGGAGATGTGATGTGCTTGTGCCTTCATATTCCATTTGTTAACTAAAGACCAGGGGACTTGTAGCTCTGGCAGGATGACCAAATAAAGTTTGTGCTCCCTAGAGTCTGAAGAGCTGTTAGGTGATCTCTCAAAGCATTGTCTGATACACCTAAACCTTCCACTGAGTGCTACATGAGTGCTGATTTTGTAGAATCACAGACCCTAAATTTCCCTTTGGCAGTTCTTTCTCAGCATGCCTGGCAGGTTGCTTTACCCATTGCAGAGAGACTTCTGGAGGTTTGCACTGCCTGCACAGTGGTGAATGAAGGAATCTGAAGCACACCCAGACCCCAAACTTCAGCCTGACCTGAGGTTCTTTAGCATAACGATGAAAGCAAACTTGCTGTGGCAGTAAATTACTAACACTCTCCTTCAATACAGTCTATGTGCTTCAGTTTCCTTTAGTGCAGAGAAACAGAAGGATGATGTACTTTGCAGTCATCTAAGGATCTTAAAGGACTCTTGGTGCAGTTATGCTGCTTTTCTCTAAAATCAATTGCTCTCATAATGGCACTTGTCTAGGCATAAGAAGCCAAGCTCTATCCCAAGAGTTCTCAATTTGCCAGGCAAATATCAAAGTTTTAATGGGAAGTAGAACTTGCCTTTAGCTATTTACTGGCTACATTAGTAATCAGAATTCAATATTTATGAAGATATATCAATAGTCTTGAAATATCATGCTGACATTTTCTCTGGAAACACACTCTTTGCCATTCCATGCAGCTATTTCAAAATCGATATGCTCCTGGAAGACAAGTGGCTGTTTTAATGCTTCACAATTAGCAAACGAGAAATACATTCGCAGAACTAGACAATTTTCTTGAAAGAAAACTTTCACTGAGAATGTTCTCTTTTTCTGACCATTGCTTCCTTCCAGCAGCAATGACATCATCTAGCAGAACACATAGTGAAGAAGGCCCCACCAGAGCAAAGTCCACCACGATGCTCAGGACCAAATGTTGATGTGTTACCGGAGAAGGAACGCTAGTACTTGGGAAGAACTAGGCAGTTACAAATTATAGGCTTAAGAACACAGGTCCAGGGCTGATAGGGAAAAGAAGAGCAGTGGAGGCTCCACACAGAGTGCTGCCCCCTCGGCCATCTCCCCTAGAGCCCTTTGTCTTACAGAGCTTCTACGTCAATTATTGCTTCCTAAACACAGTGCCTATCACTAACCAGAGCAATCCCTGGCATTTTTTTCTTAATGAAACCAGGTAGGCATCCTGACCAGACACTCCAGGACTTCTTCACAGAGCCCAGTTTCAAATTTAACCTGCTTTCCAGTTGTGCAAGCTCACTGCTCACTGCTTCCTCCCTACAGCACAGTCAAGGAAGGAAGATGAGATTTACAGCTCCTGTTTCCAATATTTTTCCCAAAACTCTAATTATTTTGTTTAATTTTGTATTGGGAAAAAAAGGCAAATTGAGTCCTAAAGTTATATATGTCAGCACTAGCTTGCCAAATAGTTTACTGTGATTTATTGGCTTAGGGTTACCACAGCCTGCTGATAGCAACTCCTCTCTCTCTGTCTAGCTCTGCTCCAAATTCTAAATCAGAAATGCCTTTGCCTGGCACATCATTGCAAATGAACTGGGGGTATCTATGATCAGCTGCTGCAACATTATATTTTCAGACTTTAGTTTACAGCAGAGAAGCCTGAATTAGTCTGAGCACTTTCACACAGTTTTAGTAGCACTTTTTCAAAGCACACACTGTGAGTCCTCTCAGAAAATAAATTTCACCAACACAGTGAAACATTACAAAGATGATTCCAAAGTGCACACATTCAGGAACACTGCAATCCATGTCAGACTGGGACATTTCATAGCAAAAAAGCCAGGTGTCTAAGTGAAGTACCTGAGCTAGAGGGCCAATTACATCAATCTCAAAACTCTAGTGAGATGGGCTGCTAAAATAATCAGTGCTGCCCAGGGACCTATCTAACTCCCCCAAAATTCAGTGGGAGCTCTCCTGTAGATTGCAGTGGAAGGAGAAGCAAACTATTACCTGCATATATTCGCTTAATGTTTTAAAATCAGAGAGCATTAGTCAATAGCTCAGAAGTCCATATTGATGGCTACTGAATGAAGATCATTAAGTGGCAAGGAATGTTGTGACTTGTTATCCTTTATTAGCTATGTGACTGATTTTATTATTTAATGAGAGTTCAACATTCATTCACTATCAGATTCTAAGATTCTTTCCACCCCTACTTGGTGACGTGACTACAAAATTTAGAATCAGAATAAACTCAAGTCAGTTCATGAACTCAGCA